AATGATTATTTTTCTCAAATTGCCCTTTCTGTTGTGAATCATCCTCACACTCTTTGTATAAACCACACTTTTGCATAGAATGATGGATTTTATATTCTAATACCTTATTTATTATTTTAATCTATATTTAGAAATTATATTGGCCTACGTTTTTATTTGTATTGTGTTTTCCAGCTTTGGTGTTAAAATTAACTGCCAATTGTTTTTATACTTTTCTACACTCTAGACTGCTTTACGTGATGTAGAATGATTTGTTCTTTGATAGATTTAACATAGATTTTTTTTTAAAGATTTTATTTATTTATTTGACAAACAGAGATAACAAATAGGCAGAGAGGCAGGCACAGAGAGAGGGGGAGGCAGGCTTCCTGCTGAGCAGACAGCCAATGCGGGGCTCGATCCCAGGATTCTGGGATCATGACCTGAGCTGAAGGCAGAGGCTTTAACCCACTGAGCCACCCAGGTGCCCAGATTTAAAATAGATTTAAAAATAAAATAGAATATTTTAATAAAAATTGATTTTATAAAAACAAAATAGATTTAAAAATAAATAATTTAAAAAATAAAATAGGTTTATTTATTATTAAATTATTAAAATAATTTAAAAATAAAATAGATTTTAAAGTCTCCTAATCCAGCCATACTTTCAGGGACATTTTTTGGTTTTTGTCTTTTATATTTTCTTATAGTTTTTGCTTTATAGTATTAATGTTTCTACCTGGTTTTGAATCAGTATTTCTGAGAAATTGTTTATGTGACATACATTTTTAGATTTATTGGTGCAAAATTACATTTTATCTTCTCTTATAACTAAAAGAATCTTTATAACTGAGGCATGCTACATTCTAATTCCCAACGCTGTTTATTTTATGTCTTTTCTCTTACTTTCTTGTCAAAAAGTTTATTTTATTGATCTTTCCAAAGAATTAGCTTTTATGATATTAAGAGAAAAAGAGAAGGAGAAGATATATGATATACGTATAGATCAAACTTACTACCTTTTTTTCCACTTGGTCTATTTCTAAGAGAGAGAGATATAAAAATTTCACATTTCTTACAATTTTTCTATTACCTATGGCTTTATAGGTTTCAGAATAGTGTTCATAAGTGCATAAAAGTTTACTATTGTTATGTATTCTCTCCGGTTTGTACCTTTTATAAATGTAAAATATATCCCTTTTTTAAACCAGTAAATGTCCTTTTCTTTACGTTTTATTTGGTTTAATATTAATACTGCAATATCTAATTTCTTTTGCCATAATCAGTCTGTTAAATCTTTTTATATCACTTTATTTTTTACCTGTTAGTGTACTTTTGTTTGCTTTAATGTCTGCCAAACCTGGGGCTGCCTGCATCTCTCTGGTTCAGGCCATACATTTTATTCTGTTGATTTTGGTAAAAGAAACACCATGTGTTAGAGATCAACTAAAGTGTCCATCTAGTCTTTATTTCCTATCCTATGCAATGCTCAGATAATATCTAAGTATTAACAACATTGTTGCAGGTATTAGCTGAAAGGTGGAAGTTTTAATCAACCCAAGTAATTAGATTCTGGGGCTAGCATTGTTTACTTGGTGATTGCAGAGTGAAGGGACAGACAATAGAAGGGGCTTATTCTCAGCTAATATGAGTGGGTAACCTGTTTTGTATCTGCAGAAACTCTTTTAATTTTTTTTCCTTTGTTCTTTGGAATTCCTCCATGAATATTTTTTTATTTTCCGGCTTCAGATTCAGTGACTTTCTAAATCCTGGGTATTTTTCTAACAATCTTTAGTTTGGTTTCCTAAGTCACTAATTTGCTTCTCAGCTCTGTCCATTATGCTATTAGCTCATAACTGAGTTTTTATTTTTCCAATTACATTTAAAATTTGTCATAGAAGCAATATCTTCTTAAATCTCTCCAAATATAATAATTACACTTGTGAGGTAGATACTCTGTGGGTGAACAACCTTGCCTCTCTCTGTTCTAGTTGTTGTAACTCATAAAAACCTGCACCTGGATGTGGCTATACACTCTAATTCTTGGCCAAGTCTGTTGGTGCTGTCTTTCTATTTCCTTCAGAGGATGTAGTTATGTGATCTGGAGTTTCAGCAGCTATCTTGCCACCATCAGGACAAAATCCATACTGAATGGCAAAGCAGAAAAATGGAAAGAATATGGATCCTGATGACATCAATGAAATGCTACAGTGGCCTCGGATTACTGCCCTTCTTATTTCTCTTTATATAACAAAAGCAAATCTGATTTTCAGTTCACTTTTAGTTGCCATTTGCAATCCCTGGTGAATGTAACTGATTCCTAAGTTCTTTACTGGTTACTCTACTAGCTTATTTTTATTAGTTTTATTAGGTCTTCTGATCATTGGGTTTGATGCTCCTCTCATGGTGTGGACTCTCTTCAAGTAATTATAATTCTTGTTTGACTGCTCATCTCTTTAATTAAGAATCCCAGCCTGCCTATCTGTAGAGATTACCTTGTTTTGTCAATAATGACTGTTGGAGAGAGATAAAATATTTCTGAGGAGAGACAGCCACAGGTCCTTGGCATGGGGTCATTTATCTCCCCATCAGTAACCACCAGGGGCCCTGGTACTGCTTTGCTGACACAGCCCCAAACCTCTGTTGGAATGAGTAAAGGCCACAGGTGCCTAGGATTTGGCATCGGTGGGGTGGGGAAGGAACACAGGGAGGCAGAAGAGGAGTCAGCCCTGCTCAGGTGTTCTAAGGCAGCCACCTAAATTAATCACCAAGGGCTTCTCAGTCCCCCATCCCTAAACAGCCCCCTACTTTCTTTAATAAGGTATTCTTTTTCCTCAACTTCTTCCACCCTAGTAGACATAAGATTTTTAGTTTTCTCTTGTATTGTTGCTTTGAGTATCCAATCCAGTGTGCTTTCTATTCTTTAGTAGTGTTTCCGCTATTATTATTTTTGTGTGTGTGTGATGTTTTCTTCTGTTTTAGGGCTAATGTGGATTTATTCTTTTTGAACTAGGGGTTCTCAAAACTTAATCTGTGTCAGAATCACCTGGAGGTCTTGCTAAAACAGATTGCTGGGTCCTCTCCTCCAGCATTCCAGTAGATGCAGAGAGAAGCAGGAGAAATTTGCATTTCTTACACGTTCCTGGGTGATGCTGATGCTGTTAACTCAGGAAACCACACTTTGAGAACCACTACTTTAAAATATATCTTTTGGGCAGGTGGCTGAGTCGGCTAAGGGTCTGGCTCAAGTCATAATCCCAGGGTATTGGGATCAAGCCCTGAATGGGGCTCCCTGCCCAGTAGGGAGTCTGCTTCTCCCTCTGCCCCTGCCCCCACTTGTGCCTCTGCCCCTCGCCCTACTTGTGTGAGTGCTTGCATGCTCTCTGTCTCTCACAAAAATAATTTAAGATATATCTTTCATTTAATGAAACTTTGGAAAACAGGTGTATACATGTGATTAGTTTACTGTATTAATCCAATCTCAAAAGTTTGGTTCACTTCAAACACATTCTATTTTCTAAAACCCATGATTTTGATAATTAGATATCGAAAGCTGAGGAGCAGACCAAGTAAAATGCTTGTTTAAAGGGTTTTTTTTTTGTTTTGTTTTGTTTTTTGAGAGAGAGAGAATGTGGGGTAGGGGCAGAAGAAGAGGGAGAGAGAGAAAATCTTAAGTAGGTTCCACAGCCAGCACAGAGCCCAGCATAGGCTTGATCTCACAACCCTGAAATTATGACCTGAGCCAAAATCAGGAGTCAGACGCTTAACCAACAGATCTACCCATGCGCCTCTAGTTTTAAATAACTCCCTCCATGTTTCTTGTCCATTTAAAAATTATTCCAAGTCTGTTGCTCCTTAGTAATCTTGTACCCACCATTGCCTTCCAGAATGCAATGTTTTCATAGCTCAGATTTTAAGTGAAGAAAAAAAGAAAACCCTAGTGTGCGTGTGTGTGAGAGTCTGCTTTGGTATCTTTGCATATAAACATATGTAGTATTTATGGACAAAGAAGAATTTGAATATCTAAATGTTGTCTCAGAAATTTACATTTCTTTAAGAGTAAAGGCCCCCAGGTGTCACCTATCAGGCACATTCTACAGGTTAGCCTGAGACTGACTCAAGATAATCGAACCATCTACTTGAAGCCAAACCACTCACAGTTTTCCCAACGTAGCCACTGGTACCTGAGAAATCCAAACAGAAGGAGGAGGCTAAACATATATCGGTTCCTTTTGTCTCATTCCTGTTTCTCCTTTCTTCTTGGGAATTTATTTTCAGGCCCAGGCACATGATTACATGCTGGTTTTCAAAATTGAAAACCTTATGCTATGCATTTAGAGAATGGGTCTAAATACATGAATGCATTTGGAAGAATTACTCGTATGCATGTGCCTGGAGGACACAGAATTTAATACACATAGTAACTTGCATGGTTTATTTTAACCTTGAGGCTTCTCTCCTTCCTTATAACAAGACAGCCTTCCTTCCTCTGAGTCTCCTTAACTTAAGTATTTGAATGTGCTCTGAGGTTATATTATTCCCACTACCTGTCACTGAGTGCTGAGCTCAAACACTGCTTATTTTCAGCTCTAACTACTTTAATTTAAATTTGCAAGTAATTATTACCCCCTCGAATTTGAAATGCACATTCCTTTAAGTGCAAAAATCACAAGTGAATCAGCTTAGGTGTAAATATAAACAACCTTAGAGTAAAGGAAATCTAAATTAGCCAATCTTGTATTAGCTGTAATCTGAACATATCACACATGTATTTTAGGCTGCAACATTCCTACTATAACCTAACAACTAAAAATACTACCTGTGTGCTTGAGGGTAAGTTATGACTGTCATAGGAACCATAATTTTGAACTTGAGATTTGTGGGCATAAATCTCAATTCTGTTTCTGCCTAAGCCTTAACTTAGAAAGAAAAGAATGTTTGAGAGGCTCCTTTGCATATTGTAATGATAGCATGTGGTCTGGCTTTGAGCTGTTGAAACCACCATTTTGGTTTTTTTTCAGATATCACTATATATGAAGATGTCACCTAAGAGAGGACACCAGCTAGATATTGCTGACCTTCTGATTGCCTGACTGCAGTGTAAATACCTGGGAAGGGCCAGATTAAATGGTCATTGAGGCATGAGAATTTCCTAAGTAAAAGAAATGAAGAAAGAAGAGTAATATCATCTTGGAAATCTTTGTAAATTATTTAGAGAAAAATAGTACAGCTGACTCTTGAACAACATGGGTTTGAACTCTGTGGGTCTATACTTACACTTGGATGCAGAGAGCAAGATGGAATCACTCATGTCAAGCAGCCAAGGGTGGTGCAGCTCAGACCAGATAGTGCCCAAACTGGCACAGGCTGATGACACCCAGAACGGATAACAAGTAGAACCAGAGCAGGTTTGCTAAGGCCAAAGCAGGATTAAATTCTTTTATAGAGGAGAGATTTTTGCAGCAAACTGTCAGACTCTCCTGACACTGACCCTTTCAGGTCTCACCACATCAAAAAGGCAACTGCCACAGAAGGCTCTACCCAACTGATGTCGGAACATAACAGAGATTCTCCACGGCTTGAACATAATTAGCTGCATGGGGTGAGAGCCGACCCTGACCTGACGGAGACCCCATCTCAACAGTGTGCTCATGGATGGAATTCGAGTTGAGTTCGTTAGCTTCTTACTCCTTGCTGGATCTTGTTTGTTGTGTGACTTTATATGGTCCTGTGCTTTGTGTGATGCGTATGAAGCCAAGTTAAATGCCGAGTGACAGGTCATTGAGTTTGGAATCCTGAAGCCGCTTTGCAATTACGTTAGCCTTGCTTTATGATTGAATGAAGCTGACACTATGGAAAGACACAACTTGTGTGTGTGCCTTCATAGCGTGCTCACAATAGGATTGCTTCTGCACATCGTGGAAGAGGGTGAGGTCACCACTCTGGTTTTGCTTCTTCAAGAGATGCTGGGGTGCCCTTGTGCTTCTCTTCCGTCAGCTCGTGAGGAAGTGACACATCCCCTCTAGAGCTCCATTGTCACGTCGGAAATAGAAGCCCAGAGAGAGGTGGTATAAGAGGCCTGCCAATGTGTGTTCACCAGTTGGAATAATTCTGACACATGGTCCATTGGCAGTAAAGAGCTAAACTCTAAAAACAATGTTGGCTGGTCCTGATGGCAGAGGGTGGCTGAGATGGTTTGGAAGGTTATAAGTGGAAAAGAGACTGGAGGGTGATTGGAGGATAGATGAAGGGATGTTCCTGGGTCTGTCCATTCAGACGCTACTAAAGCAAAGATAGACCTGCAGGACCTCCAGGCACACTGCCTATGTGTGAACTTTTTACGTTGCAGTGCTGGAAATGTATTTTCCTTCCTTATGATTTTCTTAATATTTTTTTCTCAACATTTTTTTCTCTAGCTTCCTTTATTGTAAGAATATAGTATATAATTTACATAACATGTAAAGTATGTGTTAATTACCTATAATGTTAGCAAGCTTTCTGATCGACAGTGGGCTTCTAGTAGTTAACTTCTGGGGGAGTCAGAAGTTACATGTAGAGTTTGGACAGCATTAGAGTTGGCACCCCCGATTCCTGTGTTGTTCAAGGATCAACTGTATAATCTTGAGAACAGCTATGAGTATAAACAGTGGTGGCTTCTCGCTCTGTTTTGTTTGAAGAATTTAGAACATCAAGCTGTGGCTCTGGAAAAGGAGTTTAATCTCTCAGAACACCAGTATCCTTACTCATAAAGAGAAGGTAATGATACTTACCTTTCAAGGTTTTTGTGAGGATTGAATGAGATAATATGAGTAAGATGCTTGACACATGGCTTGTGTATGCCATACATAAGCACTTCATAAGGAATGGTTAGTATATTGAAGAAACTGAATCAAAGCAAGAGAATAATGATTACCAAAAAGATATAAGCCAAATATGGGCTAATCCCACATATGTGTTTTAATAAACAATGCTTTAAATAGTGATTTCAAAAATCACATTAAAAGATATATAACTGAGGAGGGAGAGCAAATGAATATTTACTGGAGCAATCACTTTGTGTCAAATTCTTGTGGGTGTATCAGCTGTTTGTTTGCTACAAAACAAAGAACCATGAAACTTAGTGACTTATAACAATACACACTCATTATATCAGTTTCTATGGCTGGGGAATCTAAGCATATCTTAGGTGGACTCTCTTCAGGTCTTTTACAGGCTACAAAGTGTAGACCATGACTAGAATCTTATCTGAAGGCCTGACTGGGGAAGAATTTGTGGTAAGCTCATATGGTTGTTCACAGAATTCAATTCCTTGTGGGTTGTTGGACTGGGGACCTCAGTTCCTGGTTGGTTGTTGGCTTAAACTGACCTCAATTCCTTGGGACACAGCCTCTCTAATGTGGTACCTTGTTTCATTAACATGTGTAAGCCAAGGAGGCAGTAGAGAGAGTCTGCTAGCAAGATGACAGTCTCCATTTCATATAACCTATCATAGGAATAACATCTATCAACTTTGCTGTACTTTATTGGTTAGAAGGGACTCACAGTCAGAATGGCTAAAATTAACAAGTCAGGAAACAACAAATGTTGGCGAGGATGTGGAGAAAAGGGAACCTTCTTACACTGTTGGTGGGAATGCAAGCTGGTACAACCTCTCTGGAAAACAGGATGGAGGTCCCTCAAGTTAAAAAATAGAGCTACCCTATGACCCAGCAATTATACTACTTAAGTATTTACCCCCAAAGAGACAGATACAGTGACATGAAGCAGCACCTGCAACCCCAATGTTCACAGCAGCAATGTCCACAATAGCCAAACTACGGAAAGAGTCCAGATGCCCATCAACAGAGGGATGGATAAAGATGTAGTACACACACACACACACACACACACGGATATTGGCCATCAGGAAGAATGAAATCTTACTTTTTATGTCAGCATAGATGGAACTGGAACTAGAGGGTATTGAGCAGACTGAAATAAGTCAATCAGAGAAAGACAAATTATATGGTTTCACTCATATGTGAATATAAGAAACAATGCAGAGGATCAAAGGGGAAGGGAGGGAAAATTGAATGGCAAGAAATCAGAGAAGGATAAAAAACCATGACAGACTCTTGACTTCAGGAAAAAACTGAGAGTTGCGGAAGGGGAGGTGGGTAAGGGGATGAGGTAATTGGGTGATGGGCATTAAGGAGAGCACATGATGTGATGACCACTGGTATTATATGCAATTAATGAATTATTGAAAATAAATGATATACTAGATGTTGGCTAATTGAATTTAAATTAAAAAAAGAAAAAAGAAAAGCAAAGAAGCCATTCATAGGTTCTACCTACACTTGAGGGGAAGAGATTACACAAAGGGTGTGAATACTGGGAAGTGGAAAACATCAGAAACCATCTTAGAGTCTGCCTGCCATAGTAGCTAACAGGGAAATAATAGAGATTATAATTATAGCAAGAAGTAGCATAGTACTGACTATGCACCCCAAACTTCTCTAAACATTTGCATTTATTTTTTAATCCACCAGTGATCCTATGAGGTAGAAGTTATTATTATCCCTTTTTAGTAATGATACTGGAGCACAGAGAGCTTAAGTGATTTGGCTAAGGTCACACAACTAGTAAATGGTAGACCTGGGGTTCGAACCTCAGCATTTTAATTCCAGAGTCCTTATTCCTAACCACTATACTATACTGCATATACTCTATAGCTCTATACCATAAAAATTATAAATAGAAAAAAATTATAAATAGAGAATTATTGACAAATATGGTAGATTAATCTATTTCTTGTTTCTATATTTAAAGGAGTTAGCTGACTATTAGAAGTATTTTCTGAAATTAAAATGTTCTAAGTAGGTGCTCAATCAGTGTTAGTTCCTTCTGTTGATTTGGCAGCCAAGATGGGCACAGCAGAATTAGGCAGCAAAGAGTAGTCTTTGAATGATTCAAGATTTAATGATGTTACCATATAACCAGCTTCCTGAAGACCCAGAGGACTCAGAATTACTTACTGGGAGCAGAACAATACCCCTAAACAGATGATATTAGGATTTTTGCTTTGAGAATGGCACCCAAATAGTACTTGAATAAGTCATTGGGTTTGGGTAAATGGATTTCAGTGGTGGAGTTGAGTAGTGTTTGTTTAAGGGGGATTGTTTTGGTCCCCATTAGAATTTAGTTATCACTCCCTGAGTGCTGTGATAAATACATTTAAATTGCATACTATGAAGAGTTCTCTTAGTTTTCTGCCAGGTCTACTCCTACTTCTTTGAGGCCCAGTTTCATGCTTTTTGCTGTACAACCCTCCTCCCTTACTAAATAAAATAGGATGGAGATATCTACATAACTCCATAGAGCATCTTTCCTACTCATTGAAGGTATGGCCATCTATATAGAAAGGCATGGCAAAGTTACACTCTTGTCCCTCTCAATGTTACTGGTGCTTCCTGTAGGACATTTGGTTACTAGGATAGAGCAAGTACAAAAAAATTTTTGATTTTAGACCATCTGAATGTTCACTCTACATCTTCATTAGTATGGATAATTGAGAATTGAGTATATATGACCATATATTGCACACATGTATATACACCTGTGAGGACATTGGTCACAAAGAAGAAAAGCTAATTCACAAATTATTCTTTAACAAATCTTTAGCAGTTCCAGACCATTAATGACCATTATTAGTAAGTAAAACAATGTGCATTACATTCAGAAATTAAACTCAGACATCGTCTTATATGGCATTGTGGATAACTTTTGGGATGCTGTTATGGAGAATCGTGTCCCACTAAAATTCAATATGTTGAAGCCCTAGCCCCCATATTTGGAGGTAGGGCCTTTAAAGAATTAATTAAAGTTAACTATAACATGGGACTCTGATCCAATATGACTGGTAGCCTTAGAAGAAAAGGAAGAGTCAACAGAAATTTCTCTTCAAGGCTCCACAGGGGAAAGATCATGTGAAGACATGGCAAGAAGGTGGTCATCAGCAAGCCAGGAAAACTCTACTGGCACCTTGATCTTAGACCCTTATACTCCAAAACTGTGAGAAAATAAATTTTTATTGTTTAAGTCATCCAGCCTATAGTATTTTGTTATGGAAGCTGCAACAGACTAATATAGATGTCTATCCAGTTAAACTCCCCACCACCTACGGCCCTATCCTCATTGCCCATTTTCTACTAGCGAGTGAGCTCCCACAGACTTGGGAGCCATGTAACCTTGCCCCCCAACCCCCCCCCACCCGCCGTGCACAGCTATTTATCCCAGCAGCTCACACCTGATCCAAGCTTGTCCAGTGGATTAGCTCTTGAGGGAATTAGAAACAGGGACTCAGAAACTCTAGTTAGTTTGATGTGATGTGTAACAGAAAGAGTACTGAAGCCTGGGCTGTGGTGACCTTGTGCAGGCTGACCTAAAGAAAATAGGTCTTTAGGGAGAAAGAAAAGAATAAAGGAGATGTGCAGAGAGAGGAGATAAGAATCCAAGAGAATGGTCTTGGAGAAATGGAAGGAGAGCCTTACTATGGACTTTTTAGTTCTAACTTGCAGTGTGTGAAGAGGTCATTTTCAAGTTCTGCATTTAGTTTCCATGAAATATCTGATACTTTATAAAAATTCCTCTTTATTTCAGCTATCTCTAGGCAGCTTCTGTTTCACAAAATGTAAGAAGTTCTTAATAAGACAGATGGAAACATGTATAATTAAGGCCTACAGCATGAATTAAGTAGAAATCCCATAATAAACAGAAGGTTAATACATGAATTTGCTAATCATTCTCTCTTGCTGTGGAAATAATAGGAATTGTATTCCTAACTCTATGGCAGTTATAGGTCTCTATTTAGTTCAGTTATTATGGTTTCTTGTTCATATTCCACATTGTAAGTTTTTCTGAAGAAGGCCTGTTTATGGTCTATAACAAGAATAGGAAGAATATATTTTATTCATTCATTTGTTAAATTATTGAGAATGTACTT